ATGATAATGCCTAGAGGTTAGATACTCTTTACAAATTCATAATGCTGATTCTTCAATTGCGCGAAAATAAGGACCTCTTGATGTTGGTTCTTCTTGAATGCTTTTCCTTGTTGGATTTATCATCTGGGTAATAGGGAAGTATCAACATGGTGGTCTAGGTTAGGTTGTTTTCCTCGAACAGACATTTTTATTACATATCTTTAATTTACTCATCTCTATCGCATGGCAGGCTTCTATTGTGGTTTTACGTTTCCTCTCCTGGCTTACGTAATTCGCATTCTTTTGTTTCATCTTGCTGATTAATCTACGTCTAAATAATTTCCTTCGTTCTCTTCTTAATTACACGTTCACAATGCTGCATTTTTACGTTTGTACTTTTCCTGAGCTTTTTTCGATTTTTTTTTTTTTTTGTTTTGTTCTGATGAGTTCCTTCCATTTACATTTTCCCTGTTACTCTTTTTCCTTTTAGCTCCCTGCATTATTGCATCTCTTCCTTACTGTAACGTGAATGGACAGATGTGGAATGGTCCATCTCTGGTGACTGAATTTTTCTCTCACAGGATATATGTTTAAAGGGACGTTTAAAATCCTCGTTGCCGTGTAATTAGTCTTTGCACTGTGTAACAGTAAAAGTTCTGTAAGTGGAGTGAGTTTAGAAGTTCGTTGTCGATGAAATTTCATCTGTTCCACCTGGTACATGGCCAAAAAGACATTTGAAGCACTGTTTTATTACAATAAACTTGACTAGTTTCTAAATTTTTCAATATTGATATTGTATACAAAGTAACAGTACACTTTCTAATAAACATGCTTCATTTAACATGAAACATTTAAAAAACTATATATTCTAGTACTATCATTGTAAACAGGTCACCAGTTTAGTTTTGATGAACTTACTTTCATCCCATCCGGTACGTGAACACAAAGATACATAAAACCCTACCTCCTATTGCAACAATTCTGACCACTCTCTAAGCTTTCTAAAGTCGTCACCATGAGCACAGCCCAGACGTTAATTCTCAATGAATTTACTTTTATTCCACTGGGTATATAAAACAGAAAAACCTTTCAAATATCACATGTTATCCTAAATTTAATTATTTTCCTAGAGCTTACCAACATTCACCTAGTAAATGAAACAGTAAAATTTCATTGTTCGTAAAAACGAATCTCATCTCACCCAGTATATATGTAGAAAAACACTCTTAAAACCGTCGATCACATAAAATATACAACTGTTCCCAAAATTGCTGAATGTTGATCCCCACGCAAAAGACACCAAATGCTCATTTTCCATGTGTCGACTTTCGTTCCACCCGGTACATGGGCAAAGACGCTCCGAGTCACTGTTAACCGTGCAATTTATAACTGTACAACGGTGCAGTCTATTAAAACGACAACTGCACGAGCGTCCTTCGGCCCGTCAATCAATTAGAATAGTCAGCAGCCTCTGCACCGCTCGCGCGCGCGCACACACACATACTCCCACTTTTCATTTCCATCTGTCGACCATGATAAACAAAGGCGAGCCAATAATTCTCAGAAAATCGATCAACTCATCCCCTCCACCGGAAAGATTCGTTCATCTCGACGAGGTCCGCATTCGATCCCATACAGATCACCTAATCGTCATTTCAAATGGAAAACTAGTCCAAATAAAAGGCAAGTCGCGATCTCGTTTCTGTATTATCAAGTCTATTGGCAAATCTTGAAAACATAACAAGCGAAAATACACGAAAACTTATCGTTCAAATTCTACGGTTAAACAAATCGTTGATTTTGTTTTCTTCGTATTGGTAAACACGAAACACGCGCGCGCGCGCGTGAGGAGGGGGGAGTGTCCTCCTCTGGTCGATACTTTTATTTCTTTAACGCATTCTCTGAGATTCACCGATGAATTATTACTTGATAAATAATTCAGAGACAGCGCTTCTATTGCTGATTTCGTTATCGATCAACATTTTCAGTTTTAACCTGATAATATGCTATTCTCCTGCGCCTTTCCAGATAAATTATTTATCGCGTATCATGGTCTATCTTTCTCTCCCGTGTAGTCCCTGACTTTTCTGGATCCTTACAGCCTTTTCTTTTTGCGTAAACGGTGAACGATTTTCGATTATTCATCGACGCGGAATTTTCCGAAATTTTTGGAAAATCTTTTCCGAAATATTTCTTCAAATATATACGTATCGATTCACATTCAAGACATGTTTTTGTTTCACTCTAAATTATAATTGATAATGTTCTCATTTAAAAATCCATTGTAAGAGAAAAACCAAACACTGCGTCTTTTATTCGTTAATTTCTTGAAAGGATTGCAGAACCGAGTTTTCCCGTTGGTAAGACTGTAAGTTGGACAAATTTCGTTCCAAAGAGTAGCGCAAATGGCTGGTCAATAATGCAGCGTGAAACGCGAGTCCGGCACAATAATTAACCAGGAATCCCGTTGCCATTTGCGACCGCGGAAATGGCTGAATCCGACCGCCATGGGACCTAACCTAAACCCCATTGAATCCCATGGCTTACCAAACGGTATCGGGACAAATTGCCTGAGACCATAATTGCATGGTTATACTTTGGCAAAATTTAAACGAAACATCGAATAATTTTTTTGAAAAAATAATCCGCCATTTCTTTCGCCATTACGTCAACGCCCACCATTTTAAGACTCATATTTAAGAAATGATGTAATGCAATTTAAAATTGATGATATTTCGTTAAAAGTAGAGGATTACAGGAGTTTATTGAAATCGTGATCCAATGTCACGGAAAGAACAAATCCTGGTCTCAGGACGGCAGACATAATGATAATTGGCTTTGCGGGCATTTATTGTGATATCAGTGTTGATGGAGGTTACCAAGAGGGATTTTCTCTTTGACATTTGATATTTCACAGCCTCAGGTTTCAGAGGTTATGTGATCCAGAAATTGTTCACAGAAGTCCTGGTGAGAATTAAAGAAAAAAATGCTAATTCCGGGACTAAGTTAGATTATTCTAAGAATGTTTAATTAACGATGCGAACTCCGGGAAAATTCTAATTTAGTCGCCGTCAGTGAAGGGCTATAATAGCCCTGAAACACCCACTGCATTATTCCTGCAAGGCAATAAGTTCACCATGTTGATCTATTGATCTCTTCACTCATTTGCAGACTCTGGAGAAAGACATTATTTTTATAACCACCGATCTTTTCCGTAATATTTTAGGTTAGAACAGTACGTTGGAGTCCTGTTTAACTTAAAAGATGTAAAAATTTAACACACCTTGTATATTCAAAAACAATAAGTAAATGTATAATTGAATTCTAAATTGCCACAAAAATTGGCTTCTTCCGCCAATCGTAAAACCGCTGTGCTACATTTTCTTTGCTCGAACAATGATGTGCAATCTTCACAAAAGCTCGTACATACAAGCAGACGATCAACTTATTAATTCACATCCAAGCCCGATTGGAAACCGGCCTTAAAGCCTCTCAGTCACGTTATCCTCGTTTTACCAATACTCGACGATCTTTGAAACACCCTGTACACTTAAAAAGCAACAACCAAGTCGACATTTCACGTTCAAGTCCCATTAGAAACCGCCTTTCAGACCTCACCGGTAAATTATTTATACTTATTTCACTAATAGTCAATGGACGTTTCTTGGAACAACCTCCCTACGAAAAGGGTGGAAAGTTCAAAACAATTTCCCCCTTTTCCAGCGGTAGAACAACGCTCGAGCGAAAAGTAAAACAGAGGACTGGCGTACGTGAATACTTAGAAGGCGCCTTCAAGGCCCCTGTGGCGGCGACGAGCACTGCCGTTTCACTGGCACACATAGCATCTATAACCTGTCCCGCAAGCGTTATCGCGCCTTAATATCGCTAGGCTTATCGGTGGCGGTCGCGGTGCGTGACGCCCGCACGCATCCGCGCGCAACCTGCGCTCCGATTACATAACCCATCATTCAGAAATGCGGCGGCAGTGCACACAAACAGGGTGTTTCGAAAGTAGCCGCTAGTAGCGGCTAGACTGGCAGCAGTCTCGTGAAACCGCGCGTCGAGCGGTTTTATTTTTAGATTGGGCGCGATCCTCGATCGCGGAGGCTTCGGTTGCGTGTATACGGAGGCGGTCATGTGGACGCGGCTTGAAGGATGGAGTGGACCGTCTGAGTGGGAATTGGAGAACATTGAATTAGGATCGAAGGGGGATTTGTTGAAGATAATTTTATCTTCTGCTGGTCTTTGATTAGGTTAGCTCTGAATGGAGGGATTAGAGCTAGTTCTCGTTTTAGGCACTGATTAGATAATCAGGTTATGCAGGATTGTGTAATGGGTAGAAAGTAGGCTCTAATTTTCTGAGACGATTGTGATGGGGATGAAACGGTGGTCTTTGTTTGGTGCTTGGATACAGCCCAGTTTTCATGAGTATCATTCTTTAAGCTGAGTAGTTTAGTTATGTTGATTGTAGTAAGGTGAAAAGTGATCTTTATTTGAATTCTTTCATAATGCATCTTAAGTAAAATAATATGGAGAAGTTAAGCTCGGTTTTCATGTGTTCTTTTAGGGATTTACTGGGGCAATCAGGTGATGTTGGAACTAGTTTATGGAATACAATTTCCATTAGAATTCTTTCACAATGCATTTTAGATAGAATAGTACTAAGAGATTAAAGCAGATTCTCATGTGTATCATTTTTTTATAGATTACATCGATTCCAATAGGTGGAAAGTGATTTCTACTCAATTTAAACAGTATTCTAGTATGGTGAATCTAACTTAAATAAGGTAATGTTTTTAACTTCCACGATTTTCACATTTCATTAATTCTAGAAGGCAAAGTGCGCTCAAAGAGAAGACCTGACACGCTTAAGCTTCTGCTGAACACATGAAATTTCGTAATTTCGAAAGATAACATTTCTACCTGTCAATTTATCTCTCCTCACTTTGTTATTCCATAGAAAAAATAAAACTGTAAAAATTCATCAAATAAGGGCTGACAGTCGTCACGTGAAAACTCACCTCTGGGTGGTGCTGGTGGGGCCCTCTTCGGGGTGTCGTCAGCAGAGGGTGTTCTCTCCCTCATGCTTGCCAGCGGGACCCCTTAGAGCCACCATTTGGTCGAGTTCACGTGCCACGTCCTCCTGAAACATATCAATACATCAAATTTTTACCAATTAATAAATTCCAAATTTTAATCCTCTAATTTTTAATCCCTAATGTTTAAAAAGCTATCGACATTTTTTTTTTTACAAATTTGTTACTTTTGACATATTTCGTCTCCGTGTTGAATGCTATCAACTTTTACGTCGACTCATCGCCATATTGGATCCTTCTAAACGAATAAAGGCGAACTTCGAATGCACTCGATATGCTGCCTGTTCCAATAAGCACGGAAAACGCAGGCAGCAGAATCTGTGCGTCGTGCAACGGGGAAAAAAGTAGCGGAGGGCCTCGTATAATCGAGTAACAGTATCGTGCAGATGATATGAGGCTACGGAGGCACGCTCACAATGATACGTCGACGAGCATCGCGATATGCAAGGCGGCTAGCGCTCGAAGGCCTCTCCTCGTATCATCCAGACCGCGTAGGAACACCGCCAGTGGTTCTCTACCATAATCTAACACCACCATAACATCTTATAACTTTAATCGATATAAACACTGACGTTGAAAAAGATAACATAAAATTTCAGACCTGTAAATTCATAATTCAAATCGAAGTACAGTACGTAGAAAAACAAATTATACCCTTCACCAAAATCACGTGTTAATACTCATATTCCAACAGATTCCGACTGTTCGTCTGAGTAATAGCCATCCGAATAAGAATTAATTAATTTACAATGAATTAACGGATTGAGCTCGTTTTAAACCCTTTTATGAACTGGAATAAGTATGCACTATAATGGAATAAATACTCTTTTTATAAATTCGAAAATTTATTGAATTATTTTTTATTTTTTTGGATGACGACTTTTGGGACACCCGTCGAGTGACCATTTGCCATTAGGCAGCCATTTTTTGCCCGAATAACAGAGATAACGAATTATTATTTGTAGATACCAGTGGATCTTTGAAGAATTGTTTCTGAACGTACGAGGAGATAAGTGTCGTTTGAAGTAGCCAGTTATCGCCAGGGTAATCTGTGCCTTTTCGATAAACGTGTATCCTAGAAATTCGAACAGCGTGTCATACACACCGAATTACTCGGTGTTTAGATAACCCCTGGGTACACGTTGATACACTATCGTGTATCGATCTGGTAATAACCATTAATATGAACATCGAAAGATATATTTTGGCAACAAATGATCGTTACGGCTAACAATATATTTATTCGTGTATTTTCCAGAAGGATAAATTTCAATCCTAAGTCAACGAAACACGCTTCTCTCTCGTTTCCCGGCCCCGAAAGGCGGCGAGCAACGGTAAAACAAAGTACGGCCATTTTTATGTGCCACTATGTACGACTACAACCATAACACCAAAGGGCAGTGGTGCTCAGTCAGAAATTTCCATCGCTATTACCCATTAATCTCCGCGAAACGGTGGACATTTCGTATTATCGGAATGTTGTACGAACAAACAGTGTGACCTGCGGTAGCTTACGTTAATGCCATCGGTAACAGCGGTGGTTTTCAATCGAGACCGTTGGCCATTTTTGTCCATCGACGATTATTATGTGACACTTCGCATAACGGGCATAATAATTGGCAGTGACTGCAACCCGGTTACTACACTTGTCGTTTCTTGAGAACCGTGGAGAGATCTAATATCGAAGGTCAGTGGTTTCCAGTGAAGAGTTGGGAATTATTTCTGTAGATACAATCGTCTGAACGTATAATAGTAAAAGCAATTGTAACAAACGAGGGTAGGGATCTTTGAGAAAAGGATTTTGGGATTGTTTCATGAAAACTAGGCTTAAGGGTAATATAACGGTAAACAGGTAGTATACTAATAAGCCTGTGAATATCTGAATAGAATAAAGAGGAACCGTAGTTAGTCGAAAGTACATAAAACTTTAGAAAAGTGATTTCATGAAAAGGAACCTTAAGGTGCTATTAGAATAAGCGAAGAAAAGAAAAGAGAAGCAATTATTCAGGTAAGTCTATAGATACCTAGATAGAGTATAAAATGGTATCAGGTTTCAAGAATTACATCAGATTCATGAAAATAGAACCTTAAGTTACTATCGCAACAAATTACAAAATATAATCGAACGAAGATCAGAAACGAACCTATAGATACCTAAACAGTACAAAGAAAAACATTACCCCTCGATAAAAACATCCGCTCTTTCTAAATTTCTTTCGTGAAAATATTACCTTAAGGTACCAACACACATACACACTAATGTATAACCGCATTCAAATACTTCAGAAATAAATTAATCGTGAACGACCATTATTACATTCTTTTAATCTTCCTTCGAGAAAACAAGCCCAAGGTGCACCAGAACAATGTGACAAGAGCCTGTAGATCGATACAAGATGACCGACTTTCGTCACAGGAAGATCCCACGTCTTCGAAACGCCACCGAAACCACTAATCGTCTCGGAGGCGCTTTCGATCAGCCAGCAGAAACCCGAGATTCGGTAGGCGTTGGCATAGGCCCTGTGCAGGCCACTTCGAAACGACCCTGGCTCTTCGTGGCTTGGTCCAGAGCCAAGGCAACGTGCACTGCTGCCTCTCTTTCTATCCCCTCTCATCCCCTCCAATACCCCCCTTCACTTCCGCCTACCGAAAGGTCTGCTCGAATCTCACGGAATTAGGAGACTATTTGGACAGGCGCTAGAGCCAGTCTCGATGCTGGCTTCAACAGGTCATAGGGGGTTGGTAACACTGGTGAACTCTGTGACAACGGTAAAACTCCATCGAATGAGATTTTTTAAGGAAATTCAACATGAAATGACCAACCGAGTCATTGGGTACAAAAAAAAAACTAATTCTGAAATTTATATTGCTGGGAAAATCTGGTGATTTTTTTTCTTCTCTTTATGGTAACCGGTGTCTGGTGATTTTTTTTTGTCGTATCAGGCTCGTCGTATGATATAATATGGCGTATATGTGTCAAGTGCAAGTGAATCCAGTGTAACAAGATGAAGCAGGAATCTGAGCGAAGTGTTGTATACCGGGAGTCTCAGAAGTAACGATGAAGTTAAAAGCAAGTAAAGTGAATTAATCGTCACTGAGAAATGGTTAATTTGAATTTGTCGAAATATATAACAATTGTAGAATTATTTCGATGTTAGAAAGTATCACTGAAAGGATAATATATTGTTTCTGATGTTCACAGAAATATGGTTCTTTTATTTTTTTTTTTAAATGAAACAATCCTATAGTTCGTGTTCCTTTCGCGTATCCTTCGAGCGTAGCCAATTAGAAATGAAAAATAAACGTAGCAGTGATTATGATTTCATGAACACCCCGTATAAAGGAAACAAGCTGTCGGGCTACTCGTTGTGCCTGGCTTACCCTCGGAATAGTTTGGTATTTCCAACAGGTGAAAAAGTGGAAATTCTGGTCGGACATCCCTAAATATAGCGGTAGAACGGCCAGAGAACGAAAAAGAAAAACAATCATCGAAGTGTTCTACGAACAGGGACACAAAATGGTGACGTCCATTAAAACCCCATGTTTGGCCATATACGTACTACGAATTTCAAAATAACTGTTATCACACGTACGACACAAAAATTACATTCTAAGGTTACAAATTCTAAAAAAAAAGAGAAGTTCTAACGTTAAATTTTGTGGAATGTAAAATTTCCAAAAATCGTAAGAAATGTTTTCAAAAGAAATTGAAATATTTCCTTTTAGTAGAATGTCATTGATGTTGGTAGTGAAATGAGTATTTCCCAGGTGACCCTGCGCTACCGAATCCGTTTAACATGCTAGCGGAGGTCGAATAAGAGAGGACTGGAGAGGGGAAGTGAGGGGGGAGGGTACGAGTTTAAACGCTGAATCCCTATAAATCAAAGGTTGTCGAGGGTTCTAGTGTTTGCCTGGAATGCTGAAACGCGACATTCCAGCGTGGAAAAGTCTGCACTGCACCACTGTTACTGGAACCATTCCATTTTTCCCCCCACCAACCCGCGTGTTTCGCCTGATTCCGTTTCTTCTTCCTTTTCTTCCTCCTGTTTCGCGGGAGACACGCTTAAGTGGCCGTGATATTGATTGAATGCCTCCATTTTGTACTCACCAGAGACTGGTCATCGCACATACCAATTAAACAAACTGAACGTTTATTTATAGTTTATTCTATGTTAAGGAAAAGAAAACATTTTTGGAAAGATTTGAAATTCACCATCTCTTTTTCTCACCTTACTTTTCATAAAATTGTACTAATGTTGTTGTCATCGTAAGTCAAGAATTCGTTTGATTTGATTTTTCGAAGGGTCTAATGTTTTGCGAATAGTTAGTACGAATTAGTACTAACCCAGGAATATTGCAGAAATCAATTTTTGTAAGAATCCAATGTTATCTAAATATTATCTAGTACAATTAACTGTCACCTTATCTACGTACATAGTACTAAATGAAATTTTACTAATAAAGTATTCCCATACCAACTAAATAGACAATACACTATTTTTAATAATACACTTTTCAAATTATACAAGTGTTTATCATATTTTCAAAAATTTAGCCTATTCCAATTTTTCTTCCTGCCCTAATCCCCACAAAATATTACGTCCAATGTTATTTACACGATTAGTACAAATTACTACTACCCCAACTACATACATAAGGCCATACGAAAATTCGCTGTACAATATAATTCTTCGTTCACGAGGAGAAAAATTACGGTTGATTACAATTTTACAGTTTAATGGGAGAAGCAAAGGATTGATAATTATTATATAGAGTAATGCAATAGTGTAGCAATAAACAAGTAAAATGAGACTTATGAGGTATAGATAGACGGATGCGTTATAGAGGGTTTAAATCAATATAGAACGTTTCTGTATGAATTAAAGAGACAATAAAGCGTTCCAATAGTGTGCTAATCCAGATGACAGAGTTTCCATAGCGTTCAAGAGGGTGAGAGCCACTGTGAACGTACATGACGTCGTGCCGTGTGTGTCATTGGCATCATTGAATAAAACCACCGCTGATAGTTACTTTATACCAAGCTTTA